AGTATGGCATATTGGAAACAAGGTGGGAGGGACAAGATGCAGTAGGTGAGCGAGTTCTGAAGGAAGAGAATGGGAAATTTCCAGGGTGCAGAAAAATGCAGGGAGGAGATTTTTTTCACAGGTAGTAAGGGGAAATGTGTCCCATTCGTGAAACTTGAAAAATGCAGTTAAAGACCTGAGTTATTTTTAATTACTTTTGGTTGTGCGTTTTGTGCTCTCTTAACTGTCATATTAAATACTATTATGGAACCATAATGGGGAGGTCAAGGATACATAAATGTCCAAAAACTGATATTGATTATTGCTGTGGTAAGAGAATGGATGATTTGTTTTTAATTTTACATATCTGTAGTTACTTATATTTCATTAAAAATGTGTATTGCATATGTTATTTCAGAATTTTAAGAAAGGAAAGAAGAACAAATAAAGTATACACTATTATGTCATGACTTTTTAAATAATTTTTGAGGATTTTCTGTCCAGATCAGAGAAATGACCATTTATCACTATATTAATAATGCATAAAAGCTTTATTTAACATCTATAGATATATTATTTTCTATAATTATATCGCTTAAAGAGAGTCTCAGATGTTGTTTTGTGTGGGCCACAGTTTAACATACTGCCACGCAGAAGAAATTTGACTTAACTATCCCAAATTTCCAGCGATTATACTGGGAATACAAAGCACAAATCTTGGGGAATAGTTAGTCCCAATGGCACAATCCTACAGGAAAGGCATTGTGGCAGACACTATTGTGCAATGATTTTCTATAGCCTCTGGGATACTAAAACTTCAGACAAAGAAAATTTTATCTCCAGTTACTTTAAATTCCTGAATTCATTAGAAGGCCTATTTGCTAAACATATATAAAAAGAGCACACAGATTGGTCTCTCTAATTTCTTAATTTGACCTTTGTCCATGCAATTGAGCAGTGCTTTCAAACTGCTGGTTGCAACTTGTTAGTGAATTATAAAATCACTTCAGTGGACTTTGACCAACAATAATTTTTACTGAAATAGGATAGATTGGAATAAAATAGACCAGATTAGAATAGAATAGAAAAGACAATATCCAAATGCCTTGCATTTAATTAGGGTCGTTATTCCTCAAAACATTTCATCATACATGTGTGTACTGAGCCATGTTATATAATGTTTATACTGTAAATTATGATTTAAAAAAAAAAGTTTAAAAAACAGTACAAGGGAGTATTATTTAACATGTAGGTAGACATGATTGTCATTTTAACAAGATAATCCCAAACATGTTCTATGAGAAAAAAATCAAAATACTTTTCCCTATATACTTGAAACTTGTGTTCATGGTGTAACTCTTTTAAGTGGTTCCTTTCTAAAAGTCGGTATTATTACTGAAATATAGACTTCAGTGTTGGTCTTCTCCGGGTCTCAGATTTAAATAGTATTTGACTGGTATTTTGGGTTTCATTATCATTGCTCAAAATTGTGTCAATTAAAAGGGTTTCAGCACAAACTGTTTTCAGAGGTGTAAAGCAGATACGTGTTTGATCATTTTAGTTAATTCAGTGTGGCATTTAAAATAGTTTCTGGGAGCACGAGGACCATGCTGGGCCGGACCCTCAGAGAAGTTTCTGCGGCACTGAAACAAGGCCAAATTACACCCATAAAGCTCTGTCAAAAATGTTTTTCTCTTATCAAGAAGACCAAGTTTCTAAAGGCCTACATTACTGTAACAGAAGAGGTGGCCTTAAAACAAGCTGAAGAATCAGAAAAAAGATATAAGAACGGTCAGTCACTTGGGGATTTAGATGGAATTCCTATTGCAGTAAAAGACAACTTTAGCACGTCTGGCATTGAAACAACTTGTGCATCAAATATGCTGAAAGGTTATGTACCACCTTATAATGCTACAGTAATTCAGAAGTTGTTGGATCAGGGAGCTCTGCTAATGGGGAAGACAAATTTAGATGAGTTTGCTATGGGATCTGGAACCACAGATGGTGTATTTGGACCAGTTAAAAACCCCTGGCGTTATTCAAAACAATATAGAGAAAAGAGGAAGCAGAAGCCATGTGGTGAGAAGGAAGATTCAAATTGGCTAATAACTGGAGGAAGCTCGGGTGGGAGTGCAGCTGCTGTATCAGCATTCACGTGCTTTGCGGCTTTAGGATCAGATACAGGAGGATCGACTAGAAATCCTGCTGCCCACTGTGGGCTTGTTGGTGTCAAACCAAGCTATGGTTTAGTTTC